TCATGTCCTGCCATGATGGATATCAGATGGTCCTACACAAGAAAAATGGCAAATAAATAATTAGTATACTATATGATAAGCAGATCTATTGACTGTACAGAAAAATAACGTCTTCCAGTTGCTCCCTTTAGGGGTTTCCACTGTGCATCACCTGCCTCCGTCTCACCCTATCCCTAACATCCTCGACTGTCACACCAAACCTCTGCATAGCCTCCTTCACTACATCTGTTTATCTTCTCTGTGATCTTCCTCTTTTCCTCCTGTCTGGCAGCTCCAGCATCTTATTCCCAATTTAACCACCCTCTTCTCTACACTCAAACCATCCTATCCTCCCCTCTTGAACTTTGTATTCAAAGCGTTCGACCTGAGCTGTCCCTCAGATATATAATAATTTCTAATTCTGTCCATCCTGGTTACGCCCAATGGAAATTTTAACATCTTTAACACTCCCACTTCCAGGTTGCCCACCTGCCTTTTTGTTAACGCAACCATCTCACTACCATCGTCTAAAACTCCCTTTTCACTCTCGCTGAAAGAACAAGTTCTCCCAAATGATTACTACACTTTCTAAGTAAATCATGTCTCTATTTAATATTTTATGGTAGTGATTTGGGTGGGAGCTATTGATCAGAGAAGGCATGACACGACACGCTATATTATCATTTTCTGTAAATGTAGAGAGAGGTGAATTCAGAAATAATCAAGGTCATAACAGAGACTATAGCTAAAATAAATTAACTCCTAGTACTGGGTAGACTTTATGGGTGTTATTTGAGAAGGGGGAGCTCAAGCACGTTTGCAACTACTACTCTGATGCACAACAAAAAACCTATCGGTAAATTAGCTTAAAATTAGTACCAGCACAGTTACATAAGAGACGTTACAGCCTTTATAGTTGCTAGCCCAACATGGCACGTCATTAAAATATGACCGACGTGAAGGACATGTCTTCGCATGAACACCTAGAATGCCAGGTTCTGCTTCTGGTTAAACAACGCTGCAATTCAAACGCATTAATACGAGACATTTTAGCGAGTAATGCACACTCTGTAGTCAGTTAACGTTAGCTTGCTAGGTTAGC